TTATTGTATGTAGTGGTTCAGATAGTGCGTTTTAGACATGAGAATGAGTATTACGGTGTTCGGAGTGTGTTAGTTCTTTTGCGCTAGGCGTGCATTTGTAGTTGGATTAATTGCGTTTATCTATTTTGCTTGTAGGTTGATATTCTTTGTAAGTGAGATTTTGTTTAAGTCTATTCTTGAACGCGCAGGACTGATGTCTTTAAGCGACTTCATGTAAGGGGACCGCTGAAGATGATTTTTTGTTATAAGTTGGCCTATTGTTTCTCCAGGTGGTGTAGGAGGATTTGTTAAATTTATGATCAGTATCTAATGGTATGATCCGTGTGTGGGCTTGCATATATGATGTTTGTTTATATGCATTAGCTGGTCTTTGATATTGAAATGTTTATATGATGCTGGGTTGTGGGGCTGTCTTACTCGATCTATGTGCATTTATGAGTGTGTGTGGATTTTATTGTTCTTTTGTGTCTGCTCTGGCTGTCTTTGATATCTTACTTTCGGTATTGTTTGCTGCTTTCAATTGTTGATTAGGGATCATCATTTTGTCTTTGGTATTAGGTACGTAGGACGCTGTTCGGAGACTAGAAGAGAATAAAAGATGAGGAGAATAGACGAGATTTGTAACATATAAAAAATTCGAGCATTGAGAGGCGTAGTCGGGGGCAGTCTAGGGCAAGTGTTCCTGGCGCCCTGTTTGAATTTTCCTAACACGTTTTGCCATTGGGCTGTATGGACGAAGGCTATTGCGCCTGTAGAAGCGCTCAGGGTAGTTTTTGAAGCCAGTGCTGTGTGTGTTTGTGATCGTATAGTCATGGTGTGTCTCTACTATTACAATAGGTAGCCGTTGGTTGTGTAGGTGGGGTGGTGCTGGGGTCTCTTTCGTTTTGTTCACTAGTTGGGGAGCGCTGAGTTGTGAGAATTTCTGTTGCGGTGCGTAGGTCTTGTGAAGCTGGGGACGGCTGAGGGTTCTCTAGGTGGGAAATTGGAATTCTCTCATACTCGCAAGTGTTTGTGGCCAGAGCGGAGTGTTGGAATTATCGAACGAGAGAATGAATTATTATGCTGATAGCTTCATAAAAGTTAGGTGATGGTTCATTAAGATAATGGCTTGGATTTTGATGGAGAAAATAAAGATTCCTGAATTCTCGTCTGGTGTTCAGCGTGCCAGTGTTGCTGGCAGGTTTTGGTTATAGTGGGGTGGTGTGCTCTTCGTAAGTTCGTTCAATGTGTCAGTCGATTGTGTGAGGAAAAAGTGCAGCCGCGTGTGTTTTCCGCGATGCGCCGGATTGTGTATGATGAAATGGAGAGATTCTGCTGCGAGTAGGTGTACTAGATGTTTTGTGAGAAAGTATGTAAAAGAAAGTAGCGGTGAGCTTTGAGGTGATTTGCTGAGATATAGTGGTCGATAGATATGATGGTAATGGTGTAAATAATAGCGTAGTGATTGATTTTCAGGAAAATATAGAA